CAATGACCACTTGCACCCAGATGATCCCCAATTTCCACCCTCTCAATCATTTCTATATTAGAAGTTAACAATAAACCTAAAATAGCATTGTTTCTAGTTGGTTCCTTGACTAACTGGTGAAGAAAACATCCTGAACAGTTTCCAAAAACCTTTCTCCCTCATGATTTGACTCTAGTATTTCCCAATCTATATGCCTGAAATTAAAATCACCCGTAATTATAACTTCATTAACAACTGAAATCTTAATTTCATTTTAATGTCCCTTATAGAATCACTGTAAAAAAAAAGAAATCTGGATTATAGCAGGCACAGCTTAAGTACATTCTAGTGATTCACACTGAATAAGTGGAACTCCGAGTAAGTTGACCCAACAAGTTAAAGTCATGACTGGTTGATAGTGAACCCAACAAGAAAAGGATTTTTGTATTTTAGAGGCAAGTCTATTTATCCAATTTGTAAACTGCTTCATTAAAGAAATCCAGCTATACATTTTTTAAGTGATAATATTACTGATTAAAGCATCAGTAACACTGTTACATCTACAGACACAAATGGCTTAAATATTTATATCCTAATATAATCTTTTGAACTCATTTGTTCTGCTCATAAAAAACCAACTTTCATGGAAAAACCTAAGTCTTAAACAAGAAATATTTACCTTATGTTATAATCATTCAATGCAAATACTTTTATCATAATTATTACTATTCTTAAAATACAATATGATGTAATATTAATACAATAGGAAGGAATGAATGCAGAGATTGAGTTAAACATTTTGGAACCTCACCACACCACTACTCCAAATTGCCACATCTGGTCATGTGGCAATTTGGATGTCAAGATGTACGGTTGTCAGATTGAGCATCTGGTCATGCTCTATCTGACAACCGTACATCTTGACATCCAAATTGCCACATCTGGTCATGCTCTATCTGACAACCGTACATCTTGACAATAACCCTGCAGTTTAGATTTCACTGCAAAAGGCTTATAACCCTTCCTTATTAGCTTTCCATAATCAATCTAATGTACGATGATGACAGTTTCCCAGCACCTGTTTCAACAGTACAATCACATGGAAACACATAGGAGCTGCATCTGGAGACTTTACCAGTGTGTCTTCTTTGTATGGAATGGCATGAATATCAGTTTTATTTTCCATATGCATGAGGTATACGACAGAAGAACAAGACATAATATTGGAATTCTTGGTGAATCCATAACCCACTGGCCTTGTTTCCAGATGATCCTTCTTAATTATGTTTTGTACTGTTGCCTAAGGTACATGGACAGCTATTACTGCTATTTGTGTTTTCTTCATTTTAACATGCTTATTCCAGCTTTGGTACAATTGTTGCAGGTCTCTTTCTGGATGGTCCTGGTGCTCTTAGTTGATTCATATTCCTTTGTTTTCAATCCCATTAAGTATAAGGAATACCTTTATCTTAGATATTAAAGATGTTTTCAGATTGAGAACTTATAAATTCTGAGTGTATGAATATTTTGCATCAAAAAGTGTTGTTACATTCCCTTCCCAAAAGTGATTCATTTATGGTGCTATCACACAACCTAAAACAATGTGAAAATGTAGTTCTGATATATGTCATTAAACTGTGACTTTATATCAGTGTGATTTTCACATGAATTAGTGACTAAACAACATGGTAAAATGTACCCTTTTTTTAATTTATTGGAGAAGATGAAATAAATTATGCACATTGTTGGGTGCATAAAGAGAAAACTATATTTAATAAAACATTACAGAGTTTGGCAAATTGTCTAATCATAATCAATGTTAAGGAGAAATTAACCAATCATTGTAAACCCCTTAGAGGAATATCAGCCAACTGTAGTTAATCATCAGGGAAAAAAGATCTAGAATCTCAAGTTTCTAAATTAGAAAAAATTGGAAATTATTTATTTGTAGGATTATAAATTCTTATTTGTTTTAATCTCTTTAAAAGAGACATCCTGGTAGAAGCAACTTAACCATTTTCAATGTTATTCCTCAGAATGATATGTGGTTTTCCTGAAGAAGATTGTAAGTCATCAAATTCATCTCGACTAATGGGGCAAACTTCATGACTATAATAATTAAATCAACGACCTACGAAAAAATTACGTCATGTCTTTGTGAAGAGAATACTGGGGCAAACTTCATGACTATAATAATTAAATCAACGACCTACGAAAGAATAACGTCATGTCTTTGTGAAGAGAATACTGGGGCAAACTTCATGACTATAATAATTAAATCCAAAATCTAAGAAAGAATTAAGTCATGTCTTTGTGAAGAGAATACTGGGGCAAACTTCATGACTATAATAATTAAATCCAAAATCTAAGAAAGAATTACGTCATGTCTTTGTGAAGAGAATGAGTCTGATAACAATATTTGCTGTTTGTACTATAATGAACAAAACTTTTAAATAAACAATGTTTATTGTTGTACAAGTTAAAAGGTGTTACACAGTTTACAACCAATTTACCTGAATCAGATTTGTCATCATTTGGTAATATATTTTATTTAAAACTGTTTTGCATTCATCATCTAGTAACATATATTAATAGTTGAAAGATAACCATTTACCTGGTTCAGATTCATCATCGTCTGGCAAATTGATCCCTAAAAAGTCTGACCTTCTCTTTAACAGTTCTTTCTTGACATTTTTAGAAGTATCACCCCTCAACTTTACAGCTGGTTCTTCCTAGAATACCAAATTTGTTCACAACAGGATAAGAATAAACAACTTTATGTTTAAATCTGTTAAATAATAGACTGTCGTCTACTTATATTTGCTGTTTAGGTCACTAACATTCACTATATACCCAAATGTGGTCACTTATTTAGATATTATGGTAATTTGAGTCATTTATTTAATAAATATGCTATTATGTGATACATTATTAAATTTATGTTAATAGATAAATTAATAGGTGATAATTATGGAGCCACTAAGCCTACTTTGACATCATCATCAGAGAGCTCAGATTCAACTGGTGGTGGAGGAGGTTTCTCTTTCGGGGGCTCCATGGAACAAGGTGCCATGTCTATTTCAGCCAGCAGTATGCTGTCAAACTCTTCACTTTCGATTGGATAGCCTGGCTGATCAAAATCAGCCATTTCTTTAGAAACCTAAGAAGAAAATTGAGTTTAAGTATCCAAATCATAACAATACTGCTTATGATGTAAAAGTATTTCATATTACACAGTTTTAAAATATGTCAATAATAATAAATAAATAAAAACAAAGCAACTAGTGATGGGTGTTTAATGGTATTTAATAATCAAGTAATTGACTGGCTCGTTAACCAAATACATTCAACAATGGATTAGACTTGCATAATCAAAAATAGTAATAAATATTCACACTAATTTCCATTAGTTGAGTCATAAGACTAATAGGTTAAGCTGAACAAACTTGAATTAATCAGAACAACATAGAGAAATCACACTAGTGATATTTAAGTTACTTGATTATTTTTGTGTCACTAATCAATTTAATCAATGCACATAGGTATTTGATTACATCCACTAATTGAGTTAACTGCCAAGCTCTAGAGTCACCAATATCCTAAACACAGACCTCAAGTAGAGGTCACCAACATACTAAACACAGTACATGTTACCAATATACTAAACACAAACATCAAGTACAGGTTACCAATATACTAAACACAGACCTCAAGTACAGGTCACCAATATCCTAAACACAAACATCAAGTCCTGTACTTGATGTTTGTGTTTAGTATATTGGTAACATGTACAGATCACCAACATACTAAACACACTACAGGTTACCAATATCCTAAACACAGACCTCAAGTACAGGTCACCAACATACTAAACACACTACAGGTTACCAATATACTAAACACAAACATCAAGTACAGATCACCAATATACTAAACACAGTACAGGTTACCAATATACTAAACACAAGCATTAAGTACAGGTCACCAATATCCTAAACACAGTACAGGTTACCAATATACTAAACACAAGCATTAAGTACAGGTCACCAATATACTAACCACAGACCTCAAGTACAGGTCACCAACATACTAAACACACTACAGGTTACCAATATACTAAACACAAACATCAAGTACAGGTCACCAATATCCTAAACACAGTACAGATCACCAATATACTAAACACAGTACAGGTTACCAATATACTAAACACAAACATTAAGTACAGGTCACCAATATCCTAAACACAGTACAGATCACCAATATACTAAACACACTATAGGTTACCAATATACTAAACACAAACATCAAGTACAGGTCACCAATATACTAAACACAGTGTTGTTTTAAATAGCAGTGTTATTTTAAATAGCAGTGTTAAGGGCAAAATAAAGATGCAAAATGGCCAGAAATCATTTTTGATAATTGTAAAAATTAATGGTGTGGCAATATGATACAAGTATCGTGAAGCCACAATACAATTGTATTGATACATTGTCCGATACAATACAATTTATGTATCTTTGTGAAATCAGGCAAGCTTTCAATAAACATTATAAGCCTTTTGTACAGAAAAAAAAAAATTCTAATGAAGTATTAATGATTCAGTAAAGGAAGATGAGTATTGAGTGCTACATGTTGTCTTCATTTTGTTTATAAAAAACATTACATGCTACGTAACATAACAAAATAGACAGACAGATATTAACTATTTCACTTCTCTTGCCAGCTGCTATTCAGTTGATCAAACCCGAGAATTTGAAAAAGCACTGTAATAAGACAATGTTAGTAATCTTGATAATAAATTACAGACAAGACTGTCAACCTTTGTAACAAACCATTGGTACAACTTCTGTATCCAGATATATATAATATCAACTGCTATAATGAGACAAGACTGTCAACCTTTGTAACAAACCATTGGTACAACTTCTGTATCCAGATATATATAATATCAACTGCTATAATGAGACAAGACTGTCAACCTTTGTAACAAACCATTGGTAAAACTTCTGTATCCAGATATATATAATATCAACTGCTATAATGAGACAAGACTGTCAACCTTTGTAACAAACCATTGGTAAAA